TTTGTGAAAGTAGGTAGTACCCTACTGACGCTCGCTCATCCCATTCTTCTTGCAATGCTGGATCTGTCGGCCTTTCTTCCTTGCCGTTCATCAACTTGAGGAGTCCAACTTGCCTGAAGTACAGCTGCATTTTCCACGCCCAGTCATCATATCCCGTGCCGTTAAACTTATCAACCGAGAAGTTCTTCAAGACTTCCTTTAGCAGGGACCCCTCGGTGGTTCTCGCCATCCTTGGCGACGACACCCCCGTTGCTTGGCCTCCGCTGCTTTCTTGGCTTGAAGACCCTTCAGCTCCATTCTTGCCCATGGTGTTCTAACGGCAACGACGTAGTAACCCGAGCTCTGATACCACTTGTTAGTCTTAAAACGTACTAAGCTAGCTACTAACAAGCTTTAGGTGGCACTAGAACTCTCTCCTCGTGGTCACCTCCGAGGGTCCTTGGGTGCCTGACCGAGGTCAGTGTCAGAGGTCCAGTGGTGATCCCCGATTGATCCTAGGGAAGGGTTACAGGCTCGTTGTCCTGGGGGGTTATGGGCGCACTGACCCGCTACTTAACAAGCCCTTTTATCCCAGTGGTCTAGTGGCTTGGATTCTGACATGGTATCAGAGCGAAGGTCTCGGGTTCGAATCCCAGTGTGTGCACTTCGGGCATCCCAGTGCGGGGGGGTGTCAGAGGTCCACTGGTGATCCCCGATTGATCCTAGGGAAGGGTTACAGGCATGTTGGCCTGGGGGGTTATGGGCGCACTGACCCGCTACTTAACAAGCCCTTTTATCCCAATGGTCTAGTGGTTGGGATTCTGACAGTCAGCCCCTATCCAAGGGTCCGAGTGTGTAGAGAGAGAGAGTCGTAGCAACAACTAAAGTGAAGTAGCAATCGTCGCTTCCTTGGCGTTGTCAAGAGAATCAACTATAGCAGCGTACTTGCAGCAGGCATAGGAGTTATATTTTGGAAAAACAAGAACAACCAGTTCTATACTAAGCTAAATCATTCTACTCCTACCTTAATCTAGGTGTTCCAAATTCACACCTCGTATCGCGAGCAGATTTTCAGGTTCCCTCCCATTCTCTTTGTGACCTGGCGCGCACTCGATGCGACACTGAAATATTTCGTCTTTCGCGCGCGAACATTGTTGACGGTGCCGATCCGATAATTTCACTTCGCGCCAATCTCGAACGGTTGCAATGGAGTCCGTTCAAAACCTGAACAAGTCGAAATGTCGGTGGCGATCAGCATTGCGTTCGATCGCTCAACTGCTGCTCGCCACGTGCCCTCGTTCCGAACTTACTTTTGATCCGAACTGTCAGTGCTGCTAATAAATGTGAGCAACCGAACTTACTCGAAATCTCGATGATCTACCCATCTGCGCTGAAAAACGATTCGCGAGCATATAGCGCTCGCGCTACTGAGCACGCAAATTAACACGCTAATTAACGCGCTAACGAACACGCTGCACGAGCAAGGACCAATCTCGCTCCTCGAACAGTGGCAGCGCGAGCAGCTGCTCGCTCGAACTCATGAGCAACTGCCATTTCGAACAGCAGCCACTCAGAACCACCAAAACTTTTCGCTCAAAAACAAAGAGGTCAAACTCACTCTTTTGAACACCACCAGCCACTCCTATTGGTCGAGACCAGCCTTGACTTTACCTCGATTTTACCAGACTCGCCGCTCAAATCAAATGCAGCTAAAAAAAAAAAAAAAAAAAACCTGAACCATAACCTTAAATCGGCAGATTGAATTACAGAAAGGTATTTCTGTAATCAACATAAATCCTATCAGTGTAAAAAAAAAACGTGCTCTTTTTGCAAAAGGGTAACTATCGTGGAATCTTGATTTTGGCAAGGTAATCTTGAAAAAGCGGCTGACCCCCAGGGTAATCAGGACGTTTTACCCTGATATTTTGGGCCCTGCTCAAATCCTAGCATTGGCCCTGGTACAATTCTATCCTGTCAGTCTCGCTGAAATAGTGACAACAATGTTGCAGGGCGGTTATCACCTCGTTGTAGGCTTATCAACCAGCTTCACTACTAATGTGAACTCTGGTATATGATACTTTTTTACTCTCTAACTCTGAAATTTCAATTTTTTTTCTGGTACCAAGTCTGATTGATCAGAATAAAAATGTGTACTAAGTCTGACAAATCAGACAGCCCAAAAACGAATCTTAGGGCCTGTCCTGTTCTGATCGTAACACCACCGACGATCACAACCCACGTTTCACACACAAGGCACTTAGCACACTGTCAGAAATGGTAGACATACATAGGCTTAGGAGAAATCCTACCGTAGCCTAGGTTCTTGTCTAGAGGAAAGCAAGAGTGAAAACAGAAGAAGAGGGGTTTCACTAACAAACAATAGGATACATATAGCAAACCCTAACAGGGCTGTACTCACTATAGAGTACCCGACTGCAGACTAGAGAAATATAACATTCTGACACACACACCCCAAAACAGGCACAAACAACAGCACACTAACTTCGAGACAAAGGACAGCAGTTGTGAATGCTTCGAAGCTAATGCTAAAATGCATCGTGGATACAACTGCCATATTGATATGGTATGGAAGAGGCAAGAAAAGCTGCCCCACCAACGATCACAACTCCAAATGCATAAACGAGGCATTTGGCACTCACCCCGAAGCAGACACAAACAACACTACAGACATGTACGCACATTCACATACACGCTCACACATACGCAGACAAAAAAAAGCAAAAACGCAGAAACATATATCTACTAAGCATGCAAGCATAGCCAATGAAGTTCACCAATTAATAAACCATCGTTACCTTGTCCCCAATTCCCCTCCCTTTCCCCCTCCCTGATCTCCCTCCCCCCCCCAGCCCCTTTCTTTCTCCACAAGAAACAATGATTGCAGCTTGAAATTCCTGCACAGGAAAGAAAAAAACAGCAAATGCAGCTCTCACTCCCTGCACACAGTGACACACAAGCAAACAAGCTCAAAGTCAAAAGAGAGAAGCCAACACACACACGCCCTGCACAAAGCCAAAAGAGAGAAGCCAACACACACACGCCCTGCACAAAGCCAAAAGAGAGAAGCCAACACACACACGCCCTGCACACAGCAAAATCAGGGACGTCAACACACACACGCCCTGCACACAGCAAAATCAGGGACGTCAACACACACACGCCCTGCACACAGCAAAACAGAGAAGCCAACACCTTAGAAGCCGGCACCCTAAGCACTAGTGCAAAAAGCGACAACCGTTTGCATGAGTAGCCCCACTTGCACAAGCACCAGCAGAATAGATGCTAGTGCATATGCCCCAGCGTGCTCATGAGGCTCTCTCACGCGCTCTTTCACGCGCTCTCTCATGCACTCTCTCATGCTCTCTCTCACACGCTCCCTCACGCGCTCCCTCGCGCGCTCTCTCTCTCGCTCACTTACGCGCTCTCTCACGCGCACTCTCACACGCAATCTCATGCGCACTCTCACACGCACTCTCACGCGCACTCTCACGCGCACTCTCACGCGCACTCTCACGCGCTCTCTCACACGCTCTCTCATGCGCTCTCTCACGCGCTCTCTCACGCGCTCTCTCACGCGCACTCTCACCCACTCTCTCACGCGCACTCTCACGCGTACTCTCAAGTGCACTCTCATGCGCTCTCACGCGCACCCTCACGCGCTCTCTCACGCGCTCTCTCACGCACACCCTCACGCGCTCTCTCGCGCGCTCTCTCACGCGCACGCGGACTCTCACGCGCTCTCTCACCCACACTCTCACGAGCACTCTCACGCGCACTTTCCTGCGTGTTCGCTCCCGCACACACGCTCTCCCTCATGCTCCGTCTCTCCCCTTCTTCAAATGAAAGTGCAATGCAAGAGGAGACCAATCGACAGCAAAAATGTACGCAGAGAGGAAAAAAAATGGGGGGGGGGGGGGGGAGGGAGAGGGGGGATGGAGAGGAGATATCTCAGAAGGGAAAGGGAGGATGAAAGGACCGGGAACGCACCTGATAATCATGGTGCCTCAGAAAACAACTCGCGCTCGTGCACCAACCCGCGCTCGCGCACTGACCCGCGCTCGCGAACCAACTTCCGCTTGCGCTTGTGCACTTGTCGCCGGAGGCGATGGCGGGGAGGGAAGGAGAGGCAACGGCCGGGAGGGAAGGAGAGGCGACGGCGGGGAGGGAAGGAGAGGCGACGGCGGGGAGGGAAGGAGAGGCGACGGCGGGGAGGGAAGGAGAGGCGACGGCGGGGAGGGAAGGAGAGGCGACGGTGGGGAAGGAAGGAGAGGCGACGAGGGGGAGTGTAACAACCACGGCCCTTATAACAACGGGCAACCGTGTGTTAAATATAAATCCTCCTTGACAACTTATATAAAATCAAGTTACAAGGCTTCCAAGTTTAACTAATCCCACCAAGGGATAATCTAGCCTTGATAATATCGTTGAAAGCTTGAGATGAGAAAGAGAGCTTGAAGAATGTTGATGAAGCTTTAGCAAGTAGGTAGATAGCTTCTTGTAGAGTTTGTCCTTGAAGAATCACAAGTCTAGTTGTGTAGGAGAGTTTGTTAGGAGAACTTGTAGACTTAGAGAAATCCCATCTCCAAATTGGTAAGTTGGAGTTGGGAAGTGGGAATAAGCTTGAAAGCTCCAACCCCTTCCATCATAACCCTTGGGGCTCTTCCCAACCATGGCTTCCATGGTTGGGGAGCTAATAGGCTTGGAGCCTAGGTGGCATCTTTGTTTGGTTGGGAAAACCCAACTTAATTGTGTTGTATGGTTGTTTTGTGTTTGGTTGGATTGTAACAACAACTGGCACAATTTGATTGGTTGGAAATCCAGCCTTTCCAATCTTCACTTTGATGGGTTGGAAGTTTTCCAAGCCTCAAGGTTGAGGTTTGGGAAAACCAAACCAATGTTCTTCTCCAACTCAACCTTCCCGATTGCCTTCACGTCATTTCTCATCGAGGAAGTCTCTCGATGTTGACTTAGGAAGTTAGCGGTACATTAGGCAGAGTAGGTCATGCGTTACAGGGAGGGACGGAGAGGCGACGGCGGGGAGGGAAGGAGAGGCAACGGTGGGGAGGGAAGGAGAGGCGACGGCGGGGAGGGAAGGAGAGGCGACGGCGGGGAGGAAAGGAGAGGCGACGGCGGGGAGGGAAGGAGAGGCGACGGCGGGGAGGGAAGGAGAGGCGACGGCGGGGAGGGAAGGAGAGGCGACGTGGGGGGAGGGAAGGAGAGGCGACGGCGGGGAGGGAAGGAGAGTCGACGGGGGGGAGGGAAGGAGAGGCGACGGCGGGGAGGGAAGGAGAGGCGACGGCGGGGAGGGAAGGAGAGGCGACGGCGGGGAGAAGGGAGAGGCGGCGGGATGGGAGAAGAGGCGGCAGCGGGATCGGAGGTAGTGGAGATGGCGGGATGGGAGGGAGTGGCGATGGCGGGGAGTGAGGGAGAGGCGACAGGGAGGAGTGAGAGGCGACGACGGGGTGAGAGGTGGCGGCGGGATGGGAGGGAATGGCGATGGCGGGGTAGGAGGGAGGGGCGACTACTGGGTGTTAGTGAAACCCGATAGCTGGGTTGAGAGTATGGCAGAGAGAGCAGGTAGAGGAGGAATTCGAGGAACCAAGAGTATGAGTTTGAATCGACAGCTGGGAAGGGAAAACGGAACAAGAATGCGCACAGCAGTAAAGCGACGGGCAGAGGGAGCAGAGAAGAGCAATGCTCAAATTGAAGAAAGCGGGGAATTCGGGTTGACAGCGCAAGGATCTGTGGCGCTGGCAAGAAAATGGGGTAAGTAGCTTTGGCAGGGGTACTACTAGCGACCTTGCGCTTTCAAGGGGACTACAGTGCTGTATGCGGGCACTTTCTGCCACTCCGCAACTCCGACAGGAACATTATGGCAACATCACAGAACTCGGTCCCACATTCACCCACGTGTCAGAATTTCGCAAGCCACTGGAGAAAAAAATCCCTTTACCTGACAAAAAAAAACTAAAACCCGATCGTGAAGGGATGCGTCTCGGGGAGGCATCAACCCTAAAAGAAATGTGGGTTCCCGTGTTTAGGGTTGATCCCTCCAGAAAATTAGTCCAGGTTCCCTATGGGATTTATTTTTTTCTGCCGTGCGTTTTCTAACTTTCCGAATTTGTGACACGTGGGTGAATGTGGAACCGAGTCCTGTGCTGTTGCCATAACTTTCCTATCGGAGTGGCGGAGAGGCGGAAAGTGTCCGCAACTAGCACTGTAGTTCCCTAGAAATCGCAGGACCCCTGCAAAAGCTACTTATCAAGAAAATGTGGTTGGGAGTGTATGGCGTTGGCATTAAAATTTTCTCCCAGAGCAAAACGAGGCAAGAAACAGATTTTACAATAAACGTACAGTGTCATGATGATGTGGCAAATCGCCAGCTAAATTCGCGGGCGAATTGCAAGCTAAATACGTGAGCGGAAGGGAGGGTGTAGGGACGATGAGGCGAATTGCACGCTAATTCGAGGGCGAATTGAAACTGGAACATGGCGCATGACAACCCAAAAAACAATCGCACACAGTATTTTGAAACTACATGAAAATCACGTGACAACATACGCATAACCACTTCCATCCACCTATCTGACACATCAGAGTTGGCTGCTTCTATTAGATTGCAAAAAATCCGTTATAGGTACTTCTATTATAATAACAAATAGAATATCAATCTCAAGATCGTTCCCCGCTGACTAGAACTCAATCGGAAGAATAGAACATGTCTTATTTTTTAATAAGGAACGAAGAAGCTCGCTATTTTGAGAAATAACGTAGTTTATCGTTTCTTATATTATATAGTGCATTTTTGTACTAAAGTAATAACGCATACGCAACCCTTCCAGCGTTAACGTCGAATCTTGTTTATTACATTCTAAACCTCATCATCTTTTTGTCAGACTTATATGATCTAGCCTGTGTAGGCTGCAGTGGGTTAGATTCTAAGGGGTACACAATTCTAGGGTTTCACATTTGTATCACACTCATTTCCTTAGTCAATCATTCTTCGTTCTTTCACATGGTACAGAGCAGGTTCCCTAGTGGGAACGTTTCCTAGGGCCCACCACGATCGAAAATTTTTTTCCTGCCCGGAGCGCGCTTCGCTCCTGCCCGAGTCGCGCCCCGTGTGCCTGCCCTCCCGTCGCGTCCCCTGCCCTTAGCGGCCCGTCGCGCTCTCTTACGGCCCCCTAGCGGCCCCTCTCACGGCCCCTCGCGGCCCCTTCGCGGCTCCCTCGCGGCCCCTTCGCGGCCCCGCTCACGGCCCTTCGTGGCCCCTTACGGCCCCTCGCGGCCCCTTCGTGGCCCCTCGCGGCCCCTTCTAGGCCCCGTCGCCGCCCTTCGCGGCCCCGTCGCCGGCCTTCTCGGCCCCGTCGCCGCCCTTCGCGGCCCCTTCTAGGCCCCGTCGCCGCCCTTCGCGGCCCCTCGCGGCCCTTCTCGGCACCGTCGCCACCCTTCGTGGCCCCTCACGGCCCCTTCTCGGCCCCGTCGCCGCCCTACGCGGCCCCTTCACGGCCCTTCGTGGCCCCTTCGCCGCCCTTAGCGGCCCCTTCTCGGCTCCTCCGCGGCCCCTTCTCGGCTCCCTCATGGCCCTGCCGCCCCGCCGTCGCCGCCCCTGCAGCACCAGCCGTCGCCGCCCCTGCAGCAGCACCCGTCGCCGCCCCTGCAGCGGGAGCCGCCGCCGCCGCTGCCGTGACAGCCGCAACCGCCGCTGCCGCCGACAACAGCAGCCGCCGTAGCCGCCGGCAGCAGCAGCCGCCGCCGCCACTGCCAGGGCCACAGCTGCCGCAGCCGCCTGTCACCGAATAGATTGTTGTTTGCAATATATTCTGTTACTCGCTAGTGTAGGTGTAGTAGGGTTAATCGAAGTACTGTAGAAGGTGAGTTTGGTGCGTGGGTAGTGACGCGAAGTGGTGACTCAGGGACTTGTGAGGCGCAGGGTGGGACAAATTCAAGGGCGAGCCCTGGGCAATCCGAAGGGCCAATCTGAAGCCTAGCGGGCGGAGCCCAATGTGACTTACGGGAAACTGCACGGCACGGGGTAGAGACTCAAATAGGCTGGGAACTCACTGCTTAGTTCGTTCTCTTGTTTGTTTGCTCGTAATAGTGGATATAGGTTGCCGTTTGATAGCTAACTCCAGCTTAGGCGACTAAGCCACTGTGGGCAGCCATACGTGGGGGATGCAGAATCTCTCACAAACAAGAGAACCAAGATCGGGCAGAATGGACTGCCATGAGCTGCAAGGGCAGCAGACGTACTCGCGTCGGGAGTTACCACCGCCGCGAAGGATGCGCTCAAAGGAGCGGGGAAGATCGCCAGGTCGCTCGCCTAGGAGAGAGGCGGATCGGGTGGATCGGATGGCAACCCTGGGATCCCTGGGATCTGGCAAGAGGAGCGATCCCTGGGATCTGGCAAGAGGAGCGATCCCTGGGATCTGGCAAGAGGAGCGATCCCTGGGATCTGGCAAGAGGAGCGATCCCTGGGATCTGGCAAGAGGAGCGATCCCTGGGATCTGGCAAGAGGAGCGATCCCTGGGATCTGGCAAGAGGCCAGCGGGGCGCGGGAGTGAGGCATCAGGAGGATGCCGACGAGACGGACTCGTTGATGTTGGCAAACGAGGCCGACGGCGAGGAGACGGCGGAAGATGATCCAAGGGACGCGGGAGCAGATCGCTCGCCGGACGACATGCGCGAGGGAGGCGAGATGCACCGCGGAGAGAAACGCGAAGAGTGCGGAAAGGCGACGGGATCGAGTCGCTCGACAGACGAAGTGCGCGGGAATGGCGCGAGGCGCTGCGGGAGCGCAGATGCAGACGGATCGGACAGTGAAATGCGCGGGAATGGCGCGAGGCGCTGCGGGAGCACAGATGCAGACGGATCGGAGGGTGAATTGCGCGGGAATGGCGCGAGGCGCTGCGGGAGCGCAGATGCAGACGAATCGGACGGTGAATTGCGCGGGAATGGCGCGAGGCGCCGCGGGGACGCGGATGCGGAGCGTTCTGCTAACGAAAGGCACGGGAGTGGCGCGAGGCGCCAGGGGAGCAGCGCGGATGCAGATCGCGCGCCAGGGGAGGTGCGCGGGAGTGGCGCGAGGCGCCGCAAGAGCAAGGAGAATGACGGCGCGACAGGGCGCATGCGTGGGGAAGACGGATCGCCGGAGCCACAGCCAGAAACTGAGAGGAGGAGGCGTATGGTGATGGGAGCTCGGCGATCGCCAGAGCCGTGGGACGAAGAAAAGGAGAAGCTGAAATGGAGAGAGGAGGAGCAATACAGAAGGGGTGAGAGGTCGCCTGAAGGGAGGACAGAAAGGGTAAGGGAGGAACATGAGCATGGGCTGGATTGGTGCCAACGGGGTAAGAAGGAGAAGGGATCAAACTTTGAAGGAAGAGAGGGGTACAGGGGAAGGCAAGAAGGGTGTCGGAAACCTGGTGCAGGAGTAAGGGAGAAGCAGGACCTAAGCGGACAGAGGAAGAGAGGGGACAAGCAGCACATGCGACGGGAGGAGATGCACGAGTATGAAGCAGAGAGCGGGGAAGAGGAAGAGAGTGATAGGCGGGCACGCCATGGAGCGGGACAAAGGGAAGAATGCTGGGAAGAATATTTCACTGGAAGGAGAGAGGGGCAGAGGAGAAGGCAGGAAGAACGGAGAGAGTTTCCTGAGAGAGAGGACCGGCAGCAGCGGGAAAGGAGGAAGTGAGAAAGGCAATTCCAGGAATATTCGCCTGAGAGGAGGGAAAGGCGATGGGGGGAAGCAGGCGGGGAAAGAGAGGCTTACGAGGAGCGGAGAAGGAGTCCGAGTCCGAGAGGCCTTAGGAGGCCACGGCAGCAGGCAGGAAAAGGATCCAGCGAAGCCAGAGTTGCTAGAGAAGGAATATACAGGGTCTTGTATGGAACAAGCACAGGCAGCAGGGGAATGAGGGAGCACAGAGGAAAAGTCAGCCGCACAGAGCGAGGAGCAACGGGAACCTGGGACTCAGGGAGATGGGGCACGCGAGCGCCACCACAAGTAGAGGTGCCTGTGCGCTTCACGGGGAATGAAGGGACAAGCACTACTCTGAAGAATTATCTGATGCAGATTGGGAATGTCAAGTACAGGTGTGATCGGAGTGGGATGGACCCCATCGACTTCTTTTTGAGTCTGCCGAACACTTTGGGTGGGGAAGCAGAAACATTGTATCGTATGAAGATGCAAGAGTGGCTGAGGAGGGCCTAGGAGGATGGGGACGACCCTACGTCACTGTTCCTGGAGCGGTTGCGCAAGCAATTCCCAGGACATACGGCAGAGCGAATCAGGGAGTTTCAGGACTTCAAACGCAGGGAGGACGAGTCGCTGCTGACGTATTATGGGCGGCTCATGAACCTGGCCGAGGATGTGGTGTGTACTGACAGCAACATGCTGATCAGTAAGTTCCTGGCAGGATTGGACGACGGGCTGGCCGGAGGACTGAAAATGAGAGTCTACGAGCTGGGGGCAGAAGCAACCCTGGAGGAAGTGTTTGAGCTAACAGAAAAGGTGGAGTTGGCACAGAGGCGTTATGAGGCATACCTGCCAAGGGCGGCAGAGAAGATGCGACCCACCTGGGCGGCAGCAATGACACCAGGGGCGGGAGACGGAGAGGAGCAGCAACATGAGAGAAGGACAGACATGAGAACCTGCTACAGGTGTGGACAGCCGGGACATGTGAAGTTGAATTGCAAGAACTGCGACGTGTGTGGGAAACCAGGGCACCGCCGTCAGAACTGCCCTGACGCGCCAACCTGTGGGGTGTGTGGAAAGAGGGGGCATCAGCAGAAAGACTGTTATCAGAGGATTGGGGGAGCGAGGAGGTCACAAGAGGAGATGGAAACTCAGATACGAAGGCTGCGGGCTCAGATGCAGGCTTTGGGAGGCAAGACAGAGGAAGAAGCAGGAGGACTGTACGCGAGGGAAGAGGAAGAGGAGGAAGAAGAGCAGGAGCCAGAGTACTCCTGTGCGGTGCTGCATCGCCATGAAGATATGGGGTGGCGCAGTGGGGGCAGGGACGGTAGAAGGAAGCAAGTGAGTAGGGTGGGGGCATGGGTGTGTGTGCAAGTAGCACCAGATTTGGTAGGGAAGAACGAGAAGGTGGGGGCATGGGCGGATGAACCAGAAGCGGCAGGCACGGAAGGGAAGGACGAGGAGGTGGGAGCAAGGGCAGCAGCAGAAGGGGAAGAGAAGGACGAGAAGAAGGGGGCAGGAGCGTGTGTAACAGCAGCAGCAAAGGTAGAGAAAAAGGAAGAGCAGGTGGGGGCGGGAGCGTGTGTAACAGCAGCAGCAAAGGTAGAGAAAAGGGAAGAGCAGGTGGGGGCGGGAGCGTGTGTAACAGCAGCAGCAAAGGTAGAGAAAAAGGAAGAGCAGGTGGGGGCGATGTAACAGCAGCAGCGAAGGTAGAGAAAAAGGAAGTGCAGGTGGGGGCGGGAGCGTATGTAACAGCAGCAGCGAAGGTAGAGAAAAAGGAAGTGCAGGTGGGGGCGGGAGCGTGTGTAACAGCAGCAGCGAAGGTAGAGAAAAAGGAAGAGCAGGTGGGGGCGGGAGCGTGTGTACCAGCAGTAGCAGAGGCGGAAGGGAAGGACGAGAAGGTGGGGGCACGGCCGTGTGTACTAAAGCCAGAGAAGCAAGTGCAGGGAAGTAGGATGGTGAAGCAGCATGTGCGGAAGCTCAGGAAAGAACCTCCACAGATGCTGGGGGCGAAAATGGTGAAAGAAGCCGTGAGAGGAGCTGAGACAGGTGTGAGCAGCATGAAAGTGGAGATGGCGTGCGACTGGGGGCAAGGAGACCTACGGGTAGGAGGATGGGAAGGTCCAGTGTGGGCCAAAGCTCAGGAGCGGGAGGAAGCAGAGAGGGAGAACAAGGAGGTGGGGACATGGGAGTGCCTGCCTGCAGGGGAAGAAGTAGGGCACACAACGGGAGATGCGATGAGTCCGGAAGGAAAAGAGGCCGTGAAGACAGTAAGGTGGAGTAAGCGAGGAATATGGGAAGCTGAGGCGATGCAGCCAGCAACACAGGTGCTGCCAGGACCAGCGGGAATGAAAGGGGCTGCGAACTGGGTGGCATGGGAGGGAGCCAAGGCAGCAGAATACCTGGATAAGGAGAAAACAGCAGCGGCGGAGGTCATGCGTACAATAGAGTTGCGAAATGCACACGTACAGGCACAAGCAGAGACTGCAGCAGGGCGACAAAAACGACAGCTACGCCAGCGGAAGCGAGACAGGAAGCCTACCTGCAGAGGGGGATACTCGGAAAGTGGTACCGGACACACAGCGAAGGGAGACGAAGGACCTGAGGCGTCCAAGAGTGCTGGTGCTGAGGAATCAGAGAAGAGAGTAGACAGGGTGCCATCTGACGAATGCTGCAGTGGTGAAAAGCAACCGGCCTCAGCGAGAGTGTCCAGTGACACGTGCACGGGAGACCCGAGCACGAGCTCTGGAGGGGGCAGGTAGTGGCTGAGGCAGAGCAGGTAAGGTATCACAGGAACAGAGCTCAGAAGAAGGGAGCGAGGGTGAGTCGGAGAAGGAGAAGGCAAGCCACGGGAAGCAACAGAGGATGATTCTCCGACAGCTGTCACCGAATAGATTGTTGTTTGCAATATATTCTGTTACTCGCTAGTGTAGGTGTAGTAGGGTTAATCGAAGTACTGTAGAAGGTGAGTTTGGTGCGTGGGTAGTGACGCGAAGTGGTGACTCAGGGACTTGCGAGGCGCAGGGTGGGACAAATTCAAGGGCGAGCCCTGGGCAATCCGAAGGGCCAATCTGAAGCCTAGCGGGCGGAGCCCAATGTGACTTACGGGAAACTGCACGGCACGCGGTAGAGACTCAAATAGGCTGGGAACTCACTGCTTAGTTCGTTCTCTTGTTTGTTTGCTCGTAATAGTGGATATAGGTTGCCGTTTGATAGCTAACTCCAGCTTAGGCGACTAAGCCACTGTGGGCAGCCATACGTGGGGGATGCAGAATCTCTCACATGGTAGTGGCTGAGGCAGAGCAGGTAAGGTATCACAGGAACAGAGCTCAGAAGAAGGGAGCGAGGGTGAGTCGGGGAAGGAGAAGGCAAGCCACGGGAAGCAACAGAGGATGATTCTCCGACACGCCGACAGCAGCAGCCGCCGCCGACGCTGCCGTGACAGCCGCACCCGCCGCCGCTGCCGACAGCAGGAGCCGCCGCCGCCGTCCCGGCCCTACCCTGCAGAGAGGAGCGGCACTCCTCTGCCGCCCTGTCGCGGCCCCGTCCCTGCCGGCACGCCTCGGCCTCTGCCCACCTGCCCTGGTAAGAGCACCGCCGAGCCGCGCCTCTACTGCTGCTACTGCTGCTGCTATTGCTAGCCTGCTGCTGCTGCTGTCATGGCTACCCCTAGCGTTCTCACCTTTGATGCTGAGGGTCGGGCTGTCGACTTTGAGGTCTGGGTCGATGATCTGCAGCTTTTCCTGCAGTGCGATAGGAAAGACGGTCTCTCACTGTTCGATCTCACGTCTGGCGCCTCTCCTGCCCCTACTGCCGATGCTGACAGCACTGTTCGCTCACAGTGGGTCACACGCGATGCTGCTGCTCGTCTTGCTGTGCGTAGTCACCTGCCGTCGACTGAGCGCGCGCACTTTAGTCAGTACAAGAGTGCTAAGACCTTGTACGACGCTGTAGTTGCACGCTACTCTTCACCTGCCACTGCTGCCCTTAGCCGCCTCATGCTACCGTACCTGTTCCCTGACCTCGCCACCTTTCCCACAGTCGCTGACCTCATTACGCACCTTCGCACTAGTGACACCCGCTACCGCGCTGCGCTTCCTGCTGAGTTCTGCGCCAAGAACCCCCCCCCCCATGTACATCACCCTCTACTACATAGTCACCCGGCTCCCTGACTCCCTTCGCTCGGTCAGGGACCACTTCCTCTCTGTTTGCCCCACCACACTCACCGTTGAGAAGAGTATAGTCGCTGTAGGAGCCTCTCGTGGTGACCCTCGTACCCCCTTCTTTGAGGGGTGCTCCCCCTCCCCCCTTTTGCCCTCTGTTGCCTCTTCTGCTGCCGTCGACTTCGTTGGCACCGAGTCGGTCGGCGCTGCGTCTGCCCCTGGCGGGAGATGCCGCACCGGCAAGGGCAAGGGGGGCAAGGGCGCTGGAGGAGTTGGAGGGGGCGGTGGAGGTGGCGGTGGAGGCGGCGGAGGGGGTGGGGGTGGCGGTGGGAGTGGTGGTGGGGGTGGGGGCTTTGGTGGCGGCGGTGGAGGCGGAGGCAGCGGCGGCGGTGGCGGTGGGAGCGGAGGTGGCGGAGGTGGCGGAGGTGGCGGACGTGGCGGCGGCGGCGGTGGAGCTGGTCGGGGTGGCTCTGCGCAGCGGGGCGGCTTCGGTGGTGGTCAGCGCCAGCAGCAGCAGCGCACTCGTGAGACCCCGCCCCCTCAGCAGCTTTGTGAGTGGTACGCTGCGCGTCAGCGGGGTGGGGGTGCTGGTCCCTGTGCCTACGTTCTGCGTACCGGCGACCGCACTGGTGAGCCGTGTGGTGGCCCTCACACCACCCAGCGCTGTTTCAGCCGCCTGACGGACGCTTGGCGTCTTCAGTTCCCTGACGCCACTGAGATCCCCCGCTGGGGCGAGCTGCTTAGGTCGGGGGTTGCTATCTTTGATCTGGATTATGATGCTATTCTTGCTGCCATGTATGTTGTGTCTACTAGTGATGAGGGTGACTATTACCTGTGTGTTCCGCCTGACCCGGGCATTGCGGCTGCTGCTCTAGGTGCTGGTGAGGCTGCTGCTCTAGGTGCTAGTGCGTCTGCTGCCCCAGGTGTTGGTGAGTCTGCTGCCCCAGGTGCTGGTGAGTCTGCTGCCCCAGGTGCTGGTGAGTCTGCTCTCTCAGGTACCGCGTCGGCTCAGGCCTTACACACCTTCACCCTTGACTCGGGTGCTTCCCGCTCCTTCTTTCGAGACCGCACCACACTCACGCCGCTTAGTCGGCCAGTTGCAGTCTCCCTGGCAGACCCCTCTGGGGGTCCTGTCCTTGCCCACTTCTCCACTGTCTTACCGTGTCCGGCGGCCCCTTCTGGCACCCTGTCAGGTCTCTACCTCCCCTCGTTCTCTACGAACTTGGTGAGTGGTGCTGATCTACAGGATGGGGGGGTTGACCAGTTCACTCCTGCGAGTCAGCGGGTGACCCACTGTACGTGTGCTCGGACGGGCCGACACTTGGCCACGTTTACCTGTCAGCCGGGGTCGAGCCTGTGCACACTGACTACTGAGTCTCCTCCGGTTGCTGAGTCTGGTCAGGTAGCTGCGTCGGGTCAGGTGTTTGCTGCAGCGTCCAGGTCTGGTCCTGAGTCTGCTCCCTGCTCGTGTCGTCTCCTGTCCCACCGGACCCTCCTCTGGCACCACCGCCTAGGTCACCCCTCCCTGCCTCGTCTCCGAGGCATGGCCTCCCGTTACCTTGTCTCTGGTCTCCCCCGGTCCCTCCCTCCCCTCCCTCCGGGGCCTGCCCCTACCTGCGTTCCCTGTGTCGAGGGGCGGCAGCGCGCCGCTCCTCACTCCTCCGAGTTTCCTCCGACCGAGGCTCCGCTGCAGACTTTTCACATGGACGTGTGGGGCCCCGCCCGCGTCCGTGGCCAGGGTCACGAGCGTTACTTCCTGTTGGTGGTTGACGACTACTCGCGTTACACCACGGTCTTCCCCTTGCACAGCAAGGGTGACGTCACTGAGGTGTTGATCGACTGGATCCGCGCAGCTCGTCTCCAGCTCAGAGAGAGTTTCGACTCGGACTTTCCTGTTCTGCGTCTGCACTCTGACAGAGGCGGAGAGTTTTCCTCTGACCTTCTGGGAGCCTTCTGTCGTGCACAGGGCATCCGCCAGACGTTCACGCTTCCGGCCTCTCCACAGCAAAATGGGATTGCTGAGCGCCGCATTGGCATGGTCATGGATGTCGCTCGTACGTCCATGATCCATGCGGCTGCCCCCCATTTTCTGTGGCCGTTCGCGGTTCAGTACGCGGCGCATCAGATCAACCTTCAGCCCCGGGTCTCCTTGCCGGAGACCTCCCCTACTCTGCGGTGGACGGGGAAGGTTGGCGATGCGTCTGCGTTTCGTGTCTGGGGATCTCAGGCTTTTGTCCGCGACTTGTGTGCGGACAAGCTGTCCCCCCGTGCTGTTCCCTGCATCTTCCTTGGCTTCCACCCTGACGCGCCTGGTTGGCAGTTTTACCACCCCACCTAGCTCCGTGTTCTGTCCTCCCAGGACGTCGCGTTTGACGAGTCGGTTCCTTACTACCGTCTCTTTCCCTACCGCACTGCGCCCCTCCCCACGCCGCCGCTCTTCCTCGCGCCGGGTCCCCCTCCGGTAGACCCCCTTCCCCCTCAGGGTCCTGCCCCCTCAGGTGTGTCCCAGGTAGACGCAGTCGAGCCTGTCGA